AAGCATGTGTTTAGGTATCAAAGAAAAGGAAATTGAAACCAATTTTTTTTCAAAAATATTCAAAAATCGTAAGGCCCGAGCCATTCCCATGGGATTAATAAATCACGGTTGGAAATAACTTATCGAAAATCCCCGGCGAACTTGTCTTTAAAAAGTTATTTCCATTTTTAAGTTTAAAAAAAATACGAATGACGGGAATGCAAGTTGTTACAGTGCTGTTGCCCGCCGTTTCGAAAAGTCGTCTCTCGAGAAACGCGCTTTTGAAGTTATGGCATTTGTTTCGTAGACATATCCTTTTACTGTTATGTTACTGTTATAGTGCTGTTATGTTTGTTTGTCACTTTTCCCTATTCACGTGCTATCCCGAGACCATAAAAATGCGCTTCCGTGCTCAAATATCTTTCTTTTTGTGGCTCTCCCCTTCGAGAGGACCTGCCAGATTCAGAATCGCGTGGTCATCACTTTACATATTGCAAAGCGACACCAAAAAGACGAAGACAAGAACATTTGTGAATCAATGTCGGACTTCATAACTTCATAACAACAAAAATGTCATTCGAAACTTTCAAGTTTTTGTCAGATGCACTGACGTATTTCGAATCGTGCTCAACTACATACCCATACGAAGGTCGCCTTGATGAAGCTACAATATCAACGTACTTCCGTTTAGAAATGCTTTAAAGAGTATCGGGTAAGTTAGAATTCAAGGCATTAGGCTGTGACATCGACATAGGTGCTTCTTTCAGGGCGCTTGGAAAAGAGCTCGAAATCTCAAGGAAAAAATATTTCCAGATAATCAACTTTTTTCCATACATTTCAGCTGGCTTAAGATGAATCTGTTAAGGTAATTAAACAAAAAAAAAAAAGGCGATCCCGTCAAGCTTTTCTTATATTTTCCTTTCACATTTTTTCATGCGTTCATTCATTACATCTACATAAACAATGCATATATAGAGACGAAAATTTCAAACTTTTGGCCCCAAATCGGACGACGTAGTGTGGAAAGTTTTTAAGCTTTTCATTTTCTACTGCATATAGATTCAGTGCCAGCCTTCATCTTGATGACAACCCAACAGTTAATAATTCAATTGCCTTTATGGACGAGCCAGAGGTGTGCGAGAGTCAGAGAGAGGATTTCATAAAAACATTTCATAGCAATTCTTTCTTAAAACGATATAAATTAATATAACAATCCACACATGACGATGTAGCTTACATACGTTCGTATATTGGGTATATATTGAGTAAATGTAATATTCCAAAATCGTCCATTTTTTTTTTTTTTTTTTTTTTTTTTTTGTTTTAAACGCTGGGTATAACAAATTCGTCCTAAAACGTATACAGTTTTCTGAGATGATTTCTTTTCTTTTTTTTTTTTTTAAATTTTATTTTGTAATATGTATGCAGCTTGTTGCTTTGATGGCATTGATCATTTGCCAATAAAATGACCTTTTAACGCGTGTTATGCTCGTAGCTTTCTCTTTAACTCTATGCTAGAGATTTTATTTATCGTCAATGCAAGCGATACGACGCCTTAATCGCATAGCCAGCACTAATATTAATGATACAGTGCAAGTTGATTATATTATTATTATTAAGAGATTGTATGTATAAAGCTAAGGAGTAGATATGTTACGACCGCAATTCACTTGAAGTCATTTTGCAATTTTTCCCTCATTTTAAGGATAGCCGGCGATACTTGGATTAATAATCGTCCATGCATTACAAGATATGCAGATATGCCTGAAACGCATGATAGAAACGCGCAAATCTCTACTTTAAGAGAAAGTTTCAACCCCATCCTATAACACGTGTTCGTACAAATAATTTGCACAAACCTTAATTGTTTCGGAACATTTCAGTTCAATGAATCGATTTACTTTCGAATAATTGTTTTTCCTTTTCTTTTTAAAAAAAAAATATCTTCTCTTGGCAAAAGTTTTGGCATTATTTACGACACGCACTGTGCTATAGATCGTATGGGCAAGAAAAAGAAAAAAGAAGGGTCGCAGTGTTGGCATCCCACGCATTCCTATAGAGTATCAAAACAATTATGCTCACCGGCAGTTTACCATAGAATTCTTATTTTCACATTTTTCTTTTTTTTCTAGTTTTAATTATTTTTTATTGAAGTGTGACAAATGTCGAAAAAATTTTAATGAAAATTTTAATGAAACCGGTAATGAATAAAATTTCCTGATTAAGAGGAATGAAAAGAATACGCAAATCCCAATTAATGTAATTAATTGTATGCATTACAGACTATTTGTTAAATATTGTATTGCCTTTTTTCTTATTTAAAAAAATAAAATAAAAATAAAAGTAAAAATAAAATAAAAATTAAAATGTGAAGGATAGGAAGGAAGCCATTGCTAATTGCATATAAAATTTAGAAAACAATATTTTATTTGTTTATCATAATCAAAATTGCATGTTAGACACTTGACGACCTCAACTCACAACTACAACAAATCAATGTGAACGCACCGTCCAATCAAGGTCATTCGCAGCACTATTGTTCCAATTATGGATTATGAATACAAAGCAAAATTGTATTGTCGTTAAATTAAATTTTTTTGTTTTTCCTTTTTTTTATTTTTTATTCTTTTTAAACACGTAAACATCATTGGCAGCTAATTAGTGCCGCTTATTCGTGGCGTGGCATGGCGTAGCGTAGTGTGTCATCTAGTGGACGGATCTCTAGCTGCGCTAATACGATTGACAACGTCTCCAAGGATCCATAGCAATCATATGGATGACCTATATGTTTCTTATATATAACGATATCCAAAGCAAAGCAACCCTTCACAATTCAAGACGTTCGCATAGCAATATATCCACAATTCACTTTATATTCACTTTGGCATGCATTCTTTAGGGTAAAGCCGTTCAACACAATAATGTTTACACGTCAATATCAGGTCAAAGAAACCTCGACATATACGCTATGTTATGTGTTCCTTGAATGTCTTCTCCTACGTCTTCACGCGCATTCATATAACACGTTCTTTTCTTTCACTCTTTCTTCATTTATTTGGAGCCACATTCGATAAACGTTATTTTCAAAGAATTATTGGAAATGAGCCGAATTTAAGAAAAAAGCACATCGGATATATGGTAGGCCGGAGCACTAGCTCCGTTATCTTTATTGATACGATTAAGAAGGAGAAAAGCTTAATGGGAAGTAGAGAGAGTGCAAGTGCAATAAAGTCCAGGAATACTTCCAACGTAAGAATACACCAAATAGCATATGGTACTTGGAAAAAATATTGACTTTATTCGAGCTAATGTTGAACGGATAAAATCAAAACACATAGACTTGTTCCTGTTCTGTTGTATTAAAAAATGTGCAAGTGCCCAAAAATGCCAGAATAGTCAACGTGAATTCGGTTAGTTTATTATGATATTGGTTTTCATTAACCAAACTTTTGACAGGTTCATATACAGACTTTACAGACTCACATCATACTGTGCCTGACTTTTTCAAAAAAAACCCTCAACTGCAACAATTGACACCCACAATTTGCGACCCTTTTGCCATCATTTTGAGAGAAAAAACAAAAAAACAAAACAAGGAATAAAAAAAATTCCACAAAGAAGAAGAATTTTGCTTGAAATGCAATAAAACGTACAAATCGCATTTAACCCGAATTAAAATAACTTACATGTCCGAGCAACGCAAAACACACTTTCGAAACGTTTTCGAAAAATTAACATATAAAGGAGAAGATTAACTTAACCACAAATTTGAATAACACAGTCCAGCTCGGAAAATTGACTAAAGCTAGTAATCGGAAGCTTTCAAGCCATTGAAAAACTATTCGAAGAAGAAATTATCGCACGAATTCAAGTAACTATCATGAGAGAAAAATCATATTCGATTCGAATCAGCTTTTACTGAAACGTTAACACTTCAATAAGCTCTATAGTGTAGATGATATAACGTTGTTTGCTTAAATAGTGCTATGGCAACCCTTTACTGTTGTGAATAACAATAACATGTCGGAGAATTGTTGGTTTTGAACGGGATCCTACGGACACGGCATGATGCAAAAAACAGTGGCCATCCAAAAAAAAAGAAAACTAAATACACGTTACACACATACATCGATAAAATCCTGTCAGCTATATGAGTTACTTGCACAAGATACAGTTATCAAAAGGCAATGGAAGTGAGTAGCATAGCTATTCGCATTGCAACAAAACTATCCATTTGTAAAGAAATTATCTTATCATTTGAAGCAAACGCGTCAATTTCAAGGTTTGAATACTCCACAGAAATGGTGAATTCAATGCACAGACTATGCTGTCCGTACGTCAATGAAGTTTCGTTTTGTTAATAAGATACAATTTTTGGCAGAAGACTCGAACGGATATTTAACGCACTGAAAATGAATCTGTCGTGACAAATCAATAACGTTTTAGCAAATCTTGACATGTAAATAAAATGCGGCGAAAAAGGGAGCGAGCCGCAAAAATACGTTAAGAGCACGTATTAGCAAAATTAGGTGCAGCAGCAATAACCGATTATCGGTAAACTTCTTTTCCCGCGTGCAAGAGATCAAATGGGAATTGAAAGTCAGGCCACTCTTAACTTAACGAGCCAAACGAATAGTCCATCATTTTACTAACGTTTTATCTTAGAACTCACGTGGCGTAAGGAATTCGCATAGTTAGCTTATTTCATTATTTCAATAGCGGATTCACATAGATCACAAAGACGTATATAGTTGCTATGGCATATTTTGCATGTTACAAGCAGCAGGAAACACACTTTGCTCTGACAGACGTTACATTCGAACAATAACATAATGAGTAAGTAGCATATGTAAAATATTGAAAATAATTGAAATTATTTTAAAAAAGTTATTTAAAAAAAAAAAAAAAAAAAAAAATTAATTAATTTTAAGTAAATTTTGTTGGGAAAAATTTTGGGGAAAATTTCAAATCCTTATATAAAATGAAATAAATAAGAAATATTTTATGTATGTGAAGCATACCCTCACAATATTTGCAACATTTTGCTGGTGGCTCATCTGAATCAGCAATCACCGGCATGGTCGACCGCGCAGGTCCACACGGCAATGTTATCGGTCGTTATTTATCAAAATCAGATGAACTGCATCATCTTCCACACAACTAGTACATGTGTTGAATATTTGAAATAATTTTATTTACTAATATTTCAATTTTTAATCTCTCTCTTTCCTAAACAATTCATTTTTTATTCAATTTGACTAAAAAAAAAAAAATTTATTTAAAATTTTACTGGAATGCTTGCTCTCAGCTGAATTGACTAATTAAAGTGTGTTTGTTTTTTATTGTTTTAAAGTATTCGATTAACATTTTTTATTCTAATTAATTATTATGTAAAATAATAATAAAAGATTTTAAAAACGTTTGTTGTTTTGCTTTTTATTTATTTATTTATTTATTTATTTTCTTTTAATTTTGTTTGCTTGAAGTGAATTTCTTTACTTAATTTATGGAAAATGTTTTAATGGTATGTTAAATTTTTTTCGTTTTTTCTCTCGTTATTTTTATTGTATTTAAATTTTTTATTTTTTTTGTTTTTTTTTTAAAAAGAAAATTTCATTATTTTTTCCTTGTTTATTTTGTACCACTTTTTCGTTTGTTTAGCGTTGCTTTGCATAAACTATTATATTTATTTATAAACAAAAGGAAAATCGAAGAAAAAAATGACTGAGATATTATTTAACTCGACTTTTTTAAATCTTACAAAAAAAAAACAAGAAAATTTTTTTTTGTTTTTTTTTGTTTTTTATTTTTTTTTCTAAAATTTCGTTATGCACGCGCTTTTCCTAGAAATACGTTTAAATGTAGAACCTCCGCAGAGACCACTGACACGATTTTTTCCCATTAAAAAAATACACGAAAAATTTACTCGACTACAGCAACGTTTCTCACGTACGCCGCAGCTTTTCCTTACATCTGAAAATCTAGGAAAACTTCTAAACAGATCGTACGCAAGATATTCAGCAAAGCAGTTTTCACACAACAAGATGAGAAAAAGAGCGCGCGAAAGGAGAGAGAAATAGTTTCGATTCCTCTTAATTTGCTTATTTATTTTTTTGAAAATTTCAATTATCTAAAAATTCAAAACATTCATTCAGCACGCATTACAAAGTTTGAAAATCTCATTGTTTTTCATATTCGTCCTATTACTTCTGCTACTTTGATTGCTACGGTTGTAGTCGAGGCCTACTGCAGCAATGCGTTTGTTTGTTTGTTTGTTTGTTTGTTTCTATAATTCTTTTTCAGGGAGCTTGAGGAGTAAATGGAAAGTGAGAAAGAGAAAGAGATAGATATAAAGAGAGTACACGAGTATATTTTCATATTTAAAAATCACAAAATAATTATTTTACATTTATTTTTACGTTTTCAAATCGTTCAACAGAACTAGAAGAGGTTTCCTGAAAACGCCAACAAGTTATTCATTTAGCCACATAAGCCAAAACACTATACATATCTTATACATATGCATAAATAACCGTTTTAGAAAGTTCAAAAATTCAGCTGATGATTTCGAGTCCAGAGAATGCGATTAGAGAGAATAATGCGGAAGAGTGGTGGAAAGCCAGAGAGGCAGAGAGCTAGAACTAGAGCTAGAGAGAGAGAGAGAGAGAGAGGGAGAGAGAGAGAGAGAGTAACAACTCTGTCTGATTTACTTTTATTAGATAAGATTCAAAACCGAGCACAATGCCAAAGAATATGCAAAATATTTATTGTTGTTATTATAATAGTGATCGCTGAATGTCTTTTGTGTTTGTGGTATCATAACAATAGAAAAAGTATAAGAAATCTAAATAAATATATTATACACCCACTTAAAAGCATAGCTGGACTGGACTGGACTTTCAGATTGGTATTGAAAAACATTCGAAATTTTATTCGTATACGCGACGATTGTCGAACATCAAATCGAGCCTGCCTATGACAATAGATTTCTCGAACGGCACATGATTCTGCACAAAGTTGTATTCTTGGAGGAGGCGTAAAGACGGCGGTAAGCATTCGTCGGATATTGTCATCAATAAACTCATTGAGGCGCCTTAACAGTTTACCTGAATAAGCAAAATATACTCAGAATACATTTCCTTGCATGCGTAGGTGGATGGTGTTCACGGTTTTTAGTGAAACAAAATTTTATATCAAAACAAGGAAGCACATTGTAGTCGGTCAAGGCCGACTATTAGATGCGCTACAACACTTTGCCTTGTACACAGATTCACTCGTTTCGGTAACAATACATCATTAAATCACACATTATTTATTTGCAAAGGTATACTTTTGCTGAAAGCCCGCATAACGGCACAGCCGGCGTTACACAAATTTAGAAAACTTAACTTACTTGCTAATAATTTTCCGATTTTTCAGTTTCTGTAATAAAAAACTAGAAATTAGACTTTCTCTCTACATAAGTGTTTGCTTTTCATGATAACGCCTATATATGTTAGGATCTCATCCAAATTCTCTTACATTTTTTTCCTAAATTGCTACTGTGGCCAAATTATCATATAAAATATTAAAAATGAAAGCTTTTTCTTCAAGGCTTACTATTCATGGGAAATCTTATATGAACTGGGGCCCAAGAAATAAGCCCCACGCAATTCAAATTTGGTTCACTTATCTGTTATGTCAAATTACTATCGTGAACAAATATTTATCATCAAAACATTGCCAATTAGATCGTTCACTAGCAACGAAATCTGGGAACATGTAAAGCCAATAATGAATGTGGATCGTGTCGGAATAAAAATGTATCCCTTCTTTTTTATTTATTTATTTTTTTTTTTTTAACATTTCTAAATCATTTTTTCGAAACATCCGGTTCCCATAAATGGGGACGATATCTTTGTGTATTGTTGCTCTTAATATCTCGTGAATTACGGCTTACTTCAAAAATTGCTGCCGTTACTTTTTAATCACTATCGATGTAATTGACATTTGAGTGTAAGCCTCGTGAAATCTTTTCGCAAAATCTTTTGTCTTTAATCCTTTATCAAGCAAAAATAACAACATTTTGTCTTTCGATTTTATCAATTTCGATTGTTAGTAAAAGTAAAGGTGAATTAAATTGAAAAATGGAATAAAACGACAGAACGTGCATTGAGCTTAAAAATAGTACCAAAATTGACGTACGATGACGATTTATTTTCTTTAGTCCCGCTGACAGATAAAATAGCTGACTGGCGAGAAAACCATTTTTTTTTAAAAATTACATTTATTTTAAAATCTAAATATATACATGCACACCCATCTATTTGCATATATATATATATATATATGTATATGCCTTTTTTCTCTTGTCTTTATTTTTTTGGTAACAAAGGACTGCATCAACAGGTAATTAGTGTTTAAAAATAAAATTGTAATTATCAAAAAAAAAAAAAAAAAAAAAAAAAAAAAAAAAAAAAAA